GCCATGATGCCCCACTACAAACAAATGGATTAAGAAAATGTGGTACTTATACACAGTGGAATTTTATTCAGCCACAAAGAAGAATGATATGTTGTCATTCGCAAGTAAATGGATGGAACTGGAGAACATCATCTTAAGCAAAATTAACCAGGCTCAGAAGGCCTAAAATCGCATGTTCTCCCTCATATGTGGATTATAGACCTAAAACAAATGCAGTAATATTATTGGACATGGGTCCCACACTAGGGGAGAATACGCACAGGAGAAATAGGGAAAGGAAAGGAAACTTAAAACTTGAATGTGATTGATGTGCTCTCTGTAGAGGAGTGAACATAGTAATCTTAAACCGGTAAGATCTCTATGGGAAGGGGACTAGGAAGTAGTGAAGAGGTCTGGCAGAGATGAACCAATATGGATTACAATACACAAGTGTATGGAAGCAACACTAAGAATCTCTCTGTATAGCTCTTTATCTCAAACTAGCAAAAATGCTATGCCTTTCATATTATCTCTTATGTTTTCTCTTCAACAAAATAGGAGAACAAGAGGGCAGAACAGGCTCTTCCCAGAAGTTGGCGGGGGGAGGTCCAAGAGGAAAGGGGAACTTGGCCCAAACTATGTATGCATGTACGTAAATGTAAAAAATGATTTAAAAAAAAACTTTCCGGTGAAATCTGAAAGATATAAAAATAAATCAATTATGCTACCTGCCCTCAGGAAGTTCACAATCTAGTCATTGAAACCATATGTATTTGCACATGTTTAAAATACATATGTAGAGAGTATAAGTATGGAGAGATTTAAAAAATGGTAATACCATGACAATTTCTTTAAAAACTAAACATGCTTACCACATGAGCCAGCAGTTGCACTGTAGGCCATTAATCTCAGAGACATGAAGTTTATGTTTGCACCTAAACTTATATGTGTATAAACATTCATAGAAAGTTAATTTTTAATTATCTAAAATGAAAACCACTTAAATGCCCTTCAATGTGTAAATGGTTAACCAAACTGTGGTGCATCCATATCACAGAATACCACTCAGCAATATAAAAAGAATGAACCTTTGACACACAGTAACTTACATGGCTCTCAAAGGAAACACTCTAAGTAAAAAAAGGTCAACTTGGAAACATTACATATTATATAGATTCCATTTATGTAAAATTATTGAAATGACAAAACTATGCAGATGGAAAACAAAGAAGTCTTTGTCAGGGATTAGGCCTGGGGACTGGGTAGGGAGGGAGTCCAGTGGCTGTGGGTAGCATGGGAGAACCTTGTGATCAAACATCTTGACTGTTGAGGTGGTCACACACGAACCTACATAGGTGATAAAATGACATAGAACCACATACATTCTCCTGCACACATATAATTATTCTTTTTAAAGTTGATGAAATCTGAATATAAGGTTGATATATTGTCTCAATGTCAACTTCCTGATTGTGATATAGCGTGCTATAGTGCTATAGCTACACAAAATGTTGCTTTTGCCATTGAAAGACAATGAGTAAAGAGTGCACAGGATTTTTCTGTGCACTATGTGCAAAACTAATCTATAATTACCTTAAAATTAAAAAGTATTTTTCAATATTTCAATTTCAGAGGAGGTGGTTACCTACTTGAGGAGGTATGGAAGGCATTTAAAAATCAGTATGTAGGGCTCAAGCAATAAAGGGCCTGTGTTGTAAGCACCAAACCCAGAGTTCAAACTCTTGTGCCACAAAAAAAAAAAAAAGAGAGACAGAGAGAGAGAAAAACATCAGTGTGTAAATACAGCCATGCATCATTTTTTGATGGAATGCATTCTGAGAAAAGCATCATTAGGCCATTTCATCTGCGGAGCACCACAACACATACTTACACAAATATAGACAGTATGGGTCAATCACACAACACAAGTTGTATGAGGCTGCTTCTGACATAACACGGCATGTTTCACAATAAACTTTTTTTATAAGTAAAGGAGTACACTAAGATAACAATAAAAGTACAGTAGAGTAAATACATAAACCCTTAATGTAGTCATTTCTTATATGATCAAGTAACATGCATGTTATGTAACTGCACATATTGTACTTCTAGATGACTGGCTGTACAGTAGGTTTTTCTTTACACCAGCTTCACTGTATTGCACTATGACATCATGATGGCTGTAATGTCACAAAGCAATAGGAAGTTTTTTGCTCCATTATCATCTTATAGGACCACTATCCTATATATGGTGTATTATTGACCAAAATGTCATTAATGGCATAGGATTGTGATAATAAATCTATGCTTTCTGAAAAATGAAAAAATAAAAGTCACTCAACAGCATTAACTGAAAGACTACCATACAGAGAAAACTTAGAAGATTCTGTGGGAGACAATATGGAAATAAAAAAAATTTCCTGTCCTCTTGTACAATCAGTAAATATTACAATCATGAGTTCTTAAACTTCTCCAATGAAAAGGTTGACACAGACAGGCCGAAGAATGCTGGAACTCTTCATACATTATTTTTCAAAATAGATTGCATTATTTTGATAATGTGATATTCCATTACTTATTTCTCTATGCGCATAAAGTTTGAACTATTGCTCGTATTTTCCCTGTGACATAAACTTCTACTTCTCAAATCTTTTCTAGAATAACAAAAATACATTTCTGAGGAACATAATGCTACTGTAAAAATTACACTGTTAAAATTTCTCTTTAATTTAAATCCCTTTAACTTTGCTTGCACAGGGAGTTTCTCAAATCATGTATCGTAAATGTTATTTTACTTTGGAATCTAACCACCAGAAATCTGGAAAACACTAAACAATAACACCAGTTAACATGAATTCATTTATAAATGCATTTGAAAAGATGAACTGCATTCTTTTGGGCTAATAAGACCCTAATACAAAATTTTGACTACTGTTTTCATAACAACATGAAGATACAGATACCCTTCTTAAATCCAGAGAGCCTTCTTTCAGTACCTTCCCACAGCATTAGGGTGCCACCTAGAGGCCCAAATGCAGAATATACATTGGGAATCTATTAGCACGTATTCGTTGTGGGGAGGTGTTCATTGTGAAGTTTACGTATGTCCTCACAGTGTATCTAACTTAGAGTCACACCTCCATCATTCTCCTTCTTCCTTTCCTCCTTTCTTAGAACAATTTCAGGGTTCATTCTTCTATTTTCATATACATATACAAAATACACTGACCATATTTGCCCCCTTTCACCCTCTCCATTTGCCCTCTCCCTTCCCATTAGTACCCCACCCCTCACCATCAGGGCCGGTTTTACCTTCCTGGCCTTCATTTTTTAAAGTGTATAGTGATTTTTAAAATGAGGTTTTGGCATGATATTTCATACATACCATATATTTTTACCAAAACACTGAAAATAATTCACTGTGAAATGTTCTAATATAGTTGTCTAAAATTCACCATTCTTTTAACTTTTCCCAGAAGAGTTTATGAAATAGAACAGAAATGGTTTAATGAAAATATTTAAGACTGTCAATTCACATCATTTTTCATATCTTGTTTTATATAATCACCTAGATTTTATAAGTTCATGTGTCAATGTTACTTGAGTAAATAAAAGTCAAATTTTTCAGTTACTGTATTGGTTGCTATATGATGCATAACAATGAGGAAAGGGTAACTAAAAGGCTTAATGAAATTTCACCATTAACATATCATGTGTCATGGCACCAGTCCTAACTTTATTATGGTTTGGGTTATTTGAATGTTGTGTTTCTAATGGCTGAGTAACCATTTATCAAAACTAAAATTACAATGGTGGCCAATATTAGGCTTTTCCTCCTCAATCTTGTGTCCAGGCTGGTAGTAATTCATTGTTATACTAGTTAGAGCATGGAGGCAGTCTCCACAGTGTCTTCCTTATGGCACCTTCCCATCTCAGCCCAGACACACCACCCATGCACAAAGTAGAAACAACACCTGGGGGAGCACATCCAAGTGGAGGACTGAGCACCAGCATCTGGTGCAGGACTACAGCTTCACACTAATGCCTATACTTTTTTCCCTTCAAGGTCTATGGTTTAGGAAAACTTGATCATCCTTCTTCAGTCCATACTTTGGACTGATTCCTTTTTTATTGCCTCCCTTCAACTACACAATTATTTTTACCACATTAATTTATGTTCATTATCCTTAAATAAATAAATTTTCACTCTAGCTTCAAATTTTAAGAGAATTTTCAATAAATTGACTAGCAACATTTTCTCCATCTTCTCATTTTTTGTGGATTTTCATACTGTAATGTCAAGCAAATAAGTGATTTACATATTTCATTATTATTCTATATTGGCATCCTAGTTGTACAATGGTAAATAAATATTGTTTGCTTTAGGTTGTTCAGAACAAGTACATTACATTGTTTGTGTGAGTATTGTAGCCACAAGGAAACAGAATTGTCCTCACTTTTACCTTGGTAGTTGTTTGACTGGAAATAAAGCTATACCGGTTTCTATGTTTCCATAACTTCATTTCCATTCTTCTCCATGTAAAGTGTTGAGTAGTCTGTTGTTTCTGTTTGTTTGACTTTTTGTAATGAATATAATCATTTTCCAAATTCCACAGAGAAAAAGAGAATGCTGAATACTTCTCTGTACATAAAAAATATACCTTTTCTCTTTTTATATTTCCTTTCACTCCCTCTCTCATACCTTGAAATTTACTGAGATGATATAAGCTGAGAAAATGAATAAACGGATTGCTTCCAGTTGTATATACACATGAGAAACTTTATGTCAACGAGATAAATTTTTGATGACAGAAGCTTCTAGAAAACAATGAATGCAGGTTAGGCAGAGTCCATCTGGCAGAAACAGGATGTTCACGTGTATAGCAGGCTAGGAAGGAAATATACATATCAAACAGTGTAGTTAGGCAGATCAGATCCCTGTGGTTTGTAAGACTTCTACAATTCTGTGTCTCTAAGAATTCTGGCCTGTGAAATGTTCTTATGCACTTCATTCCACTTGGTTTTTCTCTTAGACACCAGTTTGGGAAGTGATCCAGTCCCGGAGGGCAGTCACTCTAGTATAAACACCAGGCTTATTGGGTTGACCACATTCATCTCCCCAGCTCACTATTCCAGCAAGGTACCAGATATCTCTAGCATCTGAACCAACCAGTGGTCCTCCAGAGTCACCCTAAAAGGAAAATGAAGAGATTAACAAATCATAATGCAGGTCCCTACAGAAGAACTTGTTATTTTGAAAGTAATGATTTTCAAAAGCCTTCAGTGTGTTTGAACACAGAAGTGATTCCCTACATCTATGTCAGCCTCAGACCATGATTCTCCTACCTAAACCTCCAGAGGATCTCTAAGACATAGAGAACTGGGTTAGCTTCCAGGTTCAGTACGCTGAGATTGAAGAATTCATCTCTTTGGAGAACAGTACTCTTAACTTATCTGATGCATCTGACAAAATAGCTCCCTGTACATATTGCCTTATGAGTGTGACATAACTCACCTGTACCTCTATTGCTGTAAGGAACACAGACATTACAGTCACACACACAAGTTTTGATCTCAATTCTGCCTTTAATTTATTTATTTGTAAATTCTTTTAGTAATACAGACCTCTGATGACAATTAGGAAAATTAAGTAAGACAGTGAATGTAAAATGTTTAGTCTACCACAAAGCAGAACTTAGGAAATATCACAAATACCAGTACGTTACACAAGGTACTGGCTGATCATCCGTCAAGACCCTAGGCCTCTGGGTATTGACCACTCACATATGTTTTGCACTTTATGAGGTTCTTAATTAATAACATGTTGCCTCATTAATTTAAGTAGGTTTTTTGGTTCTTTGATTTGTTTTTTGTTTCTTGGTGGTACTGGGGTTTTAAACTCAGGGCCTCATATTTGTGCTCTACCATTTGAGCCATGCTCCCAGCTCTTTTTGCTTTTTATTTTTTCAAGTAGGGTTTCATGATTTTCACCCAGGACAGCCTCCAGGCTGCCCTTCTCCTACCTACGTCCTCATTAGTAAGCTGGGATTCTAGGCATGCACCACCACACCTGGTCCTCATGAAATACTTTTAATAGAAGAGTTAGGGTCTGTTTTCTCCAGTCTAACAGTAATAAAACTGAAACACAGAGAAATTAAGTATTTGACTGAGATGAGAAGATAATGAGTGGCAGAACCTGATTTGAAATCGAGATCAATCTAACTTATGCTTTGTTCCCTACATTACACTGATTTTCTTATAAATTTTTTTCTATCCTTTAAAAAAAAACTAACATCAATAATAGCTCAATATGACATAATGTGTCTAAAGTTTTAAAATCAATTAACTAATAGTATATATTGATACACTTATATGTGGCAGGAAATATAAAAAGAGTACAGATGTGTAGGCTTTGGCTTCAAGCAGCCTACAACTTGCTTATACAAATAAGAACAATAGTCTTAACTTATCTGACACATCTGCAAAATAGCTCCCTGTACACATTGCCTCTTATGAGGTGACATAACTCACCTGGAAAGAGTGAAGCCTCTATTACTGATAGGGAGCAGAGACATATGCTGTCATGCATATGTATTATATGAAGTTATTTGAAAATAAATAATTTTGATAATTGAAACCCAAGACTATATGAAGGAAGAGTATATTAAGATGAACAAATAGAAGATTCTAAAGTCAACAAAAAGCTTACATTGACTTAAGAAATAGGAGCAAATGACTCTTAGAACAAATAAAGTAGTTTTTTACAAAAAGAGATAGCTGTGTATCTAAGAGTATTGAAAAATGAAAAGTAAGGTGATGTCCAGACTGTATCAAGTAGAGAAAGAGATAAAGTCTCTCTGCTATCACTAGTTAGTTCACATGTGACTGGTGAATGGAGAAGTTATGTTAGTATAAGATGGAAGTTTTAGTGGTTTATACATGTTTTTTTCAGACAGGGAGCCAGAATAATAGTAGCATTATAATCTTCAGTAAAGAAAAAAAGGCGGGGGGGTGGAGATGATCACAACACAGCTATTGCAAAGGCAGAGGTCTTTGGAGTTCTATTTTGAGAAAACCTTAAGAGTGTCTGTACCAAGTCTCCTTCCCCAAAGAGGTACTACATAGACTTCATAGTTCTTGAGTTTCTTGGGTCCTGCCAAGATGCTCCCTCCTCTTCAGGGTTATACTTCTATATGTGGTACCTAGACAAATGATTAACATAATGGCTTTTTATCCTCTTTATGGAGTCCACCCACATACCTTGTCAAGGTTAAATGGGAAAGGGGAAAGAGGATCAAGTGGGAGGGGCAAGGAGAATCAAGTGTTCAAGGGTATGCCTTCCCACATGCAGGCAGCAGAGGCTGTGGTTTGTGGTCAGAACATTTGGGGAGGGCCACAAGGTGATGACTTTCAGTTTCATGCCACTTAGTAACCCCACTCTGTTGGATAAAACACCAAGCCCTGACAGCTTCAGGCAGTCTATCTCTGCCTCACCCTTGGAGCTGCACTGTCTCTGCTTAAGCAGCAGGTCTTTACCTTAACTGCCTCTCTCACCCCTCAAGGTGTAATTCTACTTTTCTAGTAAATCTGTCTTTACTATGTTAAATAAAAATAAGATACAAAGTACTATGGCTGGGGTGTAGCTCAGTGATACAGTACTTGCCCAGCATGCATGAGTGTATGAGGTCCTGTGTTCAATGCCAGCTATGCCATCAAAAGAACAAAAAAAAAAGGAAGTACTTGAGGAATAGATTGCAGTATTAATAGAAGGAATGAAGATGAAATGAAAAAATGCAAGATATAAGATGGGAAAATACTCCAGGACTTAATTGATTACATGTGAAAGAGATGTAAAAGACACTAAGAATGGTAGCAACAATAATACAAATGGTAAACTTAAAAATTTGAAAACTAATTAGTGTTTCCTAATGCCTGTTGATTTTGAAATGGCAAATGTACAAACATTTTACTTTACACTAACAACTTAAAACATATACATGGAAATAGTTTTGGAATAGGTGGAAATGTGAGACTAAATTTGGGAAAGAATTCAATTATGAAGATGAGTATTTGGAAATCATTAAAATGACAACTGAGTTCAAAGAAAAGACGGTCACTTCAAGTGAGAATAGAGAAACTACAGAAAAATTTCATCTGAGTCCTGAATCTGAGGGAAAAACCAGGTTTAGAGAGTGAGGGAAAGAAAGATGAACCAAAGAAGGGAAAATGGCAACAGAAAATGATATCTTCATCTATAAGGAAAAAATTCCAGTAAAAGCAGATTCCACTCAGAAATCACACAGCACTGAAAGAGAGGAACTGTCCATCCCAAATTCTGTATCTGGCAAAATTATACTTCAGAAATGAAGGGAAAAATAAAAACTTTTGCAGACAAAGAAAATCTAAAAGGATTTGTCAGCAGCTGACCTGCACTAAAAGAATGGCTAAACGAACTTTCTAGAACAGAAAATAAATTATTTTAAAAGGAATATTAGAAAACCAGGAAAAAGGAAATAACAAACCTTTCCCTTTTCCATTTGAATTTTCTGTTATGTTCAGCTGTTGAAGCAAAACATTGCTTGATGTGCATCTCAACATAATAAAATTTAACGTTTATATTTGTTAATAGCTAATGTTATAAAAGTGAAGGGGAAAGAGACTTATAAGAAGGTAAGTTTTCTGTTCCACATTCCACTCAAACTAGTGCAATGTTGATTCCAGTAGAACATGGCAAAGTATATGTTTCTACATTTGTATTTATATCTCTATTTGTGGGGGATGTAATAGGCTCCATGTTAACTTGAGTGACAGTTACATAAATCTACACGTGTGGCAAAATGACATAGACCTGAACATACACTTTGTTCCACTGTCAATTTCCTAGGTTTTTATTGTACTACAGTTGAGATATAACTATTAGAGAAAAGTGAGTAAAAGGGTACATCTCATTCCCCTGTGATATATTTGCAGCTTTCCATAAATCTAGCATTATTCTTAAAAAAGTTGAATAAAACATGGCACAGCATACTAGTAGGCATAAACCACTTACCTGGCATGCATCTCTTTTTCCTTTTAAGGAGCCAGCACATAACATTCTAGGAGTTATGGCACCATTGTAAACTTGAGATTTATTACAGGTTTCAGTTTCTATGAAATCAACCTGTACTTGCCAAAGGTGATTCTGACCATAACCTAAAGGGAAGAAAGTCTTTGTATTTGTAGACATACATGTACTTTATAAACCTGAATACAATCTTTCAGAATTATTAAATAAAATGGTAATATTGAATCTTATACATGTTTTAGACACAGTAATATTTGGGAAGAAAATTCTTTCCTAACTAGTATTTTTAAAAAAAAAGACATGATTAGGAAAGAACCTCAAGTTGTCTAAGTAAGTTCCAGCCCATTGTTTAAGACTAGTAGAAAATTTTGTTTGAAGAGAGTATGATTACTGTTACCGGATCTTCATAATTGGGTATATGAATGATCCCTAATCTATATGGCTAATTCCCTGGTAAAAAGTTTGGTGGTTAGGGGATCATATTTGCTCTTTCAGATACCTTACAAGTATCATTAATGTAATAGTACTGATACCTGAATGATTCACTTAGTATCATAGCTAATAGTACTGGAAAGAATATATGCATCTTCTAAATTACATAGAGACTGACTTAACCCAGGTCCATATGAACAAATAACCAACTTATTTTTCCATAATAATGTTCTATTCTTTAAATACCTTATAACATCAAACTAGTTTACTAGGCATTGAGTTTGTCTTTAGATGCCCACCATCATTTTGCAGTGCTCCAAATCCTGTCACAAACATCTCATCCCCTGGGTGGAACTCATGGGTTGTATCAGGGAGACAAACTCTATGTACTTCATTTGTGTAGGGAACAGGGCTAGTAAGCTCTACAACTGAAATGTCATAGTCGTGTGATGGATAATTGTATTTTTCATGCACAATTATCCTCCGGATGTCTTTTTTTACTTTTGGAGGTTGTATTGCTACTCCAAAGGAAGCAGTCCATCTGGTGGGGTCCTTATACCTGGGGAGAAAAAAAATAAAGAATAAATTCTAATTTACCATGCTACTGAACTAATAATGTCTGTGAAATAATTTATGTCTGTAGGTGTCAATATAAGTTTTTCTTTTTTCTTTTCTTTTCTTTCTTTCTTTTTTTTGGCAGTGCTGGGGTTTGAACCAGGGCCTCACACTTGCTAGGTGGGCAATCTACCACTTGAGCCATGTCTCTTTTTTGCTGTATTTAGGTAAGGTCTCACATTTTTCCCCAGGCTGGCCTAGACTGTGATCCTCTTACTTATGCCTCCCATGTAGCTGGGATGACAGACTTGTACCACCATACCATGATTTTTGTTGTTGTTGTTGTTGAAATAGGGTCATGCTAACTTTTTGTTTAGGTTGCACTGGAGCCACAATCCTGCCAATCACTGCCACTTGTGAACCTAGGATTGTAGGAGTGAGCTACTGTACCTGGCCAAGCTTTTTTCAAGCAACAGTTTTTATTTCTAGAAATAAACTCTTTATAATCTGAGAATAGGTTCAGGGCCCAATTTAGGTGGAAAAACCACCATGGAACATTTCCTAGGTTATATACGCCACTTCATATGTCAAGTGGCCCACACCAGATCTTAGGAATTTTTGACATTTTGGGACATCAGTGACTATATGGAACTTATGGAAAGATGTTCCTATACAGAAGGACAAAATGAAATACATTCTATATGCCTCATATCCTCTACCACATATTTCTCTGAAACTGTAGAGACCACACTATAATTTGATAAGGCACTACTACCCTATATATTGTAGCCATTTGACACCAGGTTAAAAAAATCCACCACTTCTTACAATATAACTAGTTAATCTATATAGTTGTATACAGGCAACTTGCAATATTGAAATTTCTTCATATTCAAAATCTTTCTTACTATATGGAACTTCCCCATTAGGGTCAAACCTATAATCTTCCCAGTTTCCATTTCTAACACAGTGGATACTCACTCTTCTCTTTGACATCAAGATCAAAGTCCAAAGATGACTTTACAGTTTTGCTTTCTTTGATAAACTGTCTTGTGTTTGTCAAAAGATAATTTAACTACGATAATGTACACTGACACTATTTTTATATCCAGACCACAAAAGGTCTTACTAAGATTTATGAGATTCCCATTCCTTTTTGTGACGAACATGTTATCTTTAGTTTATGATAAACTCATCTTTCCCAAAATTCATGCACTATTTCATGAACATATAGTGTAAAACCCAATGTACTTTGTTTACCCCAATCCTCAAGGTTCAGAACTTACGTTCGAAAGCAGTGAGCAGCACTCACAAGCCATGTGCTATTGATTAAAGTTGCTCCACAGCGATGGATCCCATCCCATTGCAAGCTAGCTTGCCATGGCCATTCTCCCTCTTCCACCTGTGTCCCACCAATAATCCTGAGACTCTCTTTTGTAGATTTAATCCTTCGTGTCCCACAGCCTGCCAAAGAGAGATGGCATACTAATTAGAAGTAGTTTTAAGATCAAATTGTGTTACTACATCCCAAATTTCCTGAACTTTGTGCTGTAAGGTACAAAACATTGTCTCATGTTTCCTACCTTTCAGTAAAACACAACATTTTACTTAGCTAACTCTGTTCATCTTGTAAGATTTGTATCAGTCATCATCTCTCCTAGAAGAATTTGTCTATCAATTTCCATTCTTCTAAACTGTATTAGTTATGACTTTCTTGAATGCTTCCTTGATAGTAATAATAATAATAATAACACAAATTCTGTGTGTGTATGTTTTTATTCCTCAGCATCATTTATAATAGGGTTTTTCAATCTTAGCACATTGACATTTTGAACCATATAGTTCTGTGTCATAGACAGATATCCTGTACATTATAGAATGTTTGGTAGGATCCCTGACCTGTACATATTAGATGTCAGTAATATGTACTGGGTGATATAACAAAAATGCTACAATAGGGTATAGTAGCTTGTGCAATAAGATGGCCACTGGTTGAGAATTATTTTAGGATTATATGTTTATGCATTTGTCTCATGCATCTAATTCTGTTAGAGTGTGAGCTGCTTTAGGCAGAGACTATATATCTTACTCATTGTGCATCCCTATTGCCTAACACAATACTAGCACAAGATAGGTTCCTAATAAATATTGGTTCTAAGAATACATGTCATTTAAACAATGGGATTGTATTTTGGTTCCATGTTAGTTAATAAATTAATCAACATTTTAAACTGGTGAGTAACACATTTTCTTCCATTTTCAAAGACAAATGTAGAATGTACTCATTTTGTAACTATTAATGTATTCTTTGAATCATAGTGGAATATTGTACACAGCAAAGAGAAGGACTTGGTCTATGAAGCACTTTTTAAATATGGATAAGGTATTTTCATGTATGAAAATATACCTCAACCCCATAATATCTGTAACTTCCACATTATTGAATTAATAACATCAAAGAGATTTTTATTTAGAGTAAACTGATAATAAGTTACTGACTCTAACTTTAAATTATGAAAATACAGTTTACTTTTATATAACCTTCAGAAAACTTTTGTGGAAACACATTATAGCTATCTCCAAATAGACCATTGTAGCACTTTTAGACTCTTTTTAACAGTCACCCAACTCACTTTTGATACACATGGCCAGAGGCACCTGTACATTCACATTGGAGTTCTTCTAATTTTTCCATCTTTAATGTGCAATGTGCCTCAGAGATAAAACATCATGAGCTGTACACAAGCCATTCAAACTTTATTCTGTTCCTCTAATATCAACACAAAAAAAGTGTTACCCTTTTCACATTCAAGTAATTCAATCTTAATAAATATACTAAACTTACAATTGTTGAGATACATGTCTGTTTCTGTCGTGTTGATTTCTGAAATACACAAAAAAGGTAAGTATGAGAGGGTGAGCACATCAGAATTGCTCCATGCTTCTGAGTGCATCAAATACCAAAAGACTGACAAAATAGCATCTCTAGATGATCCAAGATGGCATTTAGGGTAGGAAATAAGAATTCCTCCCAAAGAGGGGCTGTGGTGGATCGCTGAGCTAGTCTTGAATGACTGAGGGCTGTACTCAAAACTGAACTGCCCCACTTTGGTGGGGGAAGAACTGGCCAGTCAGAATTCCAGCTGTAGGGAAACACAGCTGCCACCTAGCAAAAACAACAACAGATCTAGCTCCTTTGCATGAACTGGCAATGAGTTCTTCAGGTCTCAGTTGCAACATGTCCTGTATACAGAAGGAAACAAATACTGCTTACAAACTGGTCACCTGGTGAGAGCACTTCAGGGCTCCTAGTTGTAACAGACAGCCCATAAGACCAAGGAAAGTGGGAAAAAAAGAAAACACCCTCCAAGCATCTCCACCTCAAGATGTCCAACAAGAGGGGCAGCTCCCTTCCCCACAAAGCCTAGAATACCAAGTGACAGTACCAGGATTGGATGCCAAAGGAATAAATCTAGAACCTTTACTGAGCAGTCTGAACTTTCTGATGTTTCTATACCTGCTTTTTCTTTTTTTCCCTGTATTACTAACTTTACCATCACTATCTCTTACTCCCTTCACTTTCCCTTCTTTTCTTGTGCAACAATGCATTGCAATTGTAGAATTGTCTACAATTTCTGCCCCTTCTCATCCACTCTCTCTCCCTGTCTTCACCTCCCTCTTCTATCCTTCCCAAACCTATCACCACATTACCCCTCTCTCTTACACATCACCACCCATTGACTAGCCTACTGTACCAACCATACACACTCCAAGCCCCCTGCAATCCCTGATACAAGCACCTCCACTATAACAGCAGAAATATGTTCAAACACACACAAGGACCACAAAACCCATCAGCCTCCATATGTCTTCCCCCATCTCGCTTTTCTGCCCCTCCTTTTAGTGCCACCTTTACCATTTACCCAAGTTTCTATTTCTAGCCAAACAACCATTACCCCACCCCACAACTCCCACTGTTTGTAGATACTATCACCAAGGAGTTTTCTATATAATAGGTAAACAATTGGTCTGGCATTGAAACTGTGAATTTGATATTGCTAATTTACACCTCCAGACCAGGACAGAAATAGCACATCAACCTAGCCAAAAACTAAGTCACTCACAACACAAAAACTAAATCAAGGGAAAGAAAATAAGCAATTAAAACCATCAATTAGCCAATTAAAAACACAGTTGCCCAGCACCAGTTGAAGCAATGGGAGAAGAAGGGAAGGAAACTATACTCCTCAAAAAAAAAATTCAATAAAGGATTCAGTGGAAAATGAAAATGGATAGCCAGTTCCTGATGCCAACAAAATAATGATAAATATCACTAATTAGCCCAGTGACACCCACAAAAAAGTCCCTCAAAGAGGAAATCATGGAATTGGTCTCTGAGAAACTCGTGGAAAAGGTAGAAGACATGGTTAACCAGACAGTACAAGATGCACTCAAGAAATTTCAAGACACCACAGATAAAGAATTTGAGAAGACACAGAAACAACTACATGAACTCATGACTTCAACAAACACCAAAGTGAAACAAAGGACACTATAAATAAAAGCAATATGTGAAATAAAGAAGACAACACAAAATATAGAAGAGGAGTTGAACAAATATATGGAAAACCTCAGAAAAAAAGAATCAAACAGAAATCCTGGAAATAAAAACTCCCTTTAGTCATACAAAAAACACAGTGGAAGGCCACTCCAGCAGATTAGAACAGTGGAAGACAGAATCTCAGAGCTTGAAGATAAAATAGAAATTAAAGAGAACAGAAGAACTCTTAGTCAAACAACTCAAGAGTTGTGAAAGGGATATGCAAGAACTTAGCAACCCCACCAAAACATCAAACCTGAGAATCATGGACATTGAAGAAGGACAGGAAATACAAGCCAAAAGGATATATAATATATTCAATAAAATATTAACAGAAAATTTCCCAAACCTCGAAAAGATTTGCCCAATCAGGTACAGGAACCTCCAGGACACCAAACAGACTTGACCAAAATAGAACCTCTCAATAGTATATATCATTAAAATAAATAGTACAGAACACAGAGAAAGGATATTGAAGGCTGAAACAAAGAAATAACTAATAACATATGAGGGTAAACCCATCAAAATAACAGATTTCTCAACAAAAACCTTAAAAGGAAGAAGGGCATGGAGTGAGGTATTCCAGGAACTAAACGAGAATAATTTCAGTCCTAGAATACTCTACCCAGCAAAACTATCATTCAAAATTAATGGAACAATAAAAGTTTCCCATGATAAACAGAAAGTACAACAGTATATGACTACCAAGCCACCACTACAGAAGATTCTACAAAGAATTCTGTGCACAGAAGATGAAAGCAAACAAAACCATGAGACGACAGGAAGTATTAAACCTCCAGAGAAGAAAAGACAGGAAACAGAGAGTAGCACTGATTTGGCTGCACACACTCAAATCCTTAAATAACAAAAACAAGTAAATGGCAGAATCCACCACATACATATCAATATTAACAATGAATGTCTGCTTTCATTATCTGTGTACAGAATTCCTTGGAGAATTTTCACAACACAGATTACTACAGAGGCACCTGCACACCCATGTTTATTGCAGCACTATTCACAATAGCCAAGTTATGGAAACAACCAAGATGCCCCACTATTGATGAATGGATCAAGAAAATGTGATACTTGTACACAATGGAATTTTACTCAGCCATGAAGAAGAATGAAATCTTATCATTTGCAGGTAAATGGATGGAACTAGAGAACATCATTCTGAGTGAGGTCAACCAAACTCAGAAGACCAAAAATCGTATGTTCTCTCTCATATGTGGACTTTAGATCTAGGCCAAATGCAGCAATGTGGTTAGTCTTGGATCACATGATAAGGGGAGAGCACATTTGGGTGAAATAGAAATAGGCAGAAAACCTAAAACATGAAAGCATTTGATGTCCCCATTCCAGAGGAGCTGATATAGAAACCTTAAAGCAACAGAGGTTATCATGAGAAATGAATCAGTAACCAGGGTAAAGATCATTTAGAGATGAATCAACATGGGTCATAACAGGTGTACATGAAAGCAATGCTAGGAATATTTCTGTATAGCTAGCCTCAACTCAACTAGTAAAAATGCTTTGTCTTCCTTATTAGGCTTGTCTCTTTTCTTCAACAAAACTAGCAGAACGGGACCTGCCTGGAACTGAGCGGGGAAGGGGGAAGAGGGTGGGGGAGGGGGGCAAGGGGAGAAATGACCCAAACAATGTATGCACATGTGAATAAAAGAAGAAAAAAAAAAAAACACTGAATGTCAATGGACTCAACTTCCCATCAAAAGACACCATTTGTCAAACTGGATTAAAAAGGAAGAGCTGAAAATCTGTTGTTTATAAGAAACCCATCTTATTGACAGGAATAAACACTTGCTTAGGGTGAAAGGCTGGAATAAGATCAAACTAATGGCCCCTAAAAACAGGCAGGAGTAACAATACTTATAACAGACAAAGTAGACTTTAAACTTACAACTGGTCAAACAAGATAAAGAAGGTAACTTCATACTAATAAAAGGGGCAATTCATCAAAAGGAAATAACAATTATCAATCTATATCACCCAATGACAGTTCACCCAACATCACTGAACATACACTAAAGGATTCTAAAGCACATATATAGACTCCAACACAGTGGTTGTGAGAGACTTTAATATCCCTCTATCACCAATTGATAGGTCATTCAGACAAAAACAAAATCAATGAAGAAATCTTAGACCTAAATGACACCATAGATCAAATGGACCTAACTGATATCTACAAAGTACTTCATCTGAAAACAGCACAATATACATTCTTCTACACAGCCCATGGAACTATCTCCAAAATAGACCAAATCTTAGGGCACAAAACAAGTCTCAAGAAATTCAAGAAAATTGAAATAATCCACTGCAATCTATCTGATCACAATGCAGTAAAACTAGAACTCAAAAAAAAAAGCAGCAGAAAAAGATGCATTAACAATTGAAGGCTGAACAACACACTGCTCAACAATCAGTGGGTCATAAAAGAAATAAAAAAGGAAATGAAAAAGTTCCCAGGGGACACAGCAAAGGCAGTCCTAAGAAGAAAGTTTATAGCCATGAGTGCATACATTAAAAGGACAGAAAGATCTCAAATAAATGACTTAATGCTACATCTCAAACTCCTGGAAAAACAAGAACAAGCAAAATCAAAAACAAGCAGGAGAGAAATAATAAAAATAAGGGCCAAAATTATTGAAATAGAGATGAAAAAAATTATAAAGAATCAACAAAACAAAAAGCTGGTTCTTTGAAAAAATAAACAAGATTTATAGACCCCTGGCAAATCTGACTATCATGAGGAGGGAAAAGACCCAAATTAGTAAAATCAGAAAAGAAAAAGGAAGATAACAACAAACACCAAGGAAATCCAAGAGAACTTATTTTCATAAAATTGGAAAATCTTAAAGAAATGGACAGATTTCTAGATACATATGACCACCCAAAACTGAACCAAGAAGATATTAATTCAGGTCATTACTTGAATAGATTTATAACACATAAAGAAACTGAAGCAGCAATAAACAGTCTCCCAGAAAAAGAAGTTCAGGACCTGATGGATTTTCTGCTGAATTCTACCAGACCTTTAAAGAAAACTAATACCAACCTTCCTTAAACTTTTCCATGAAATACAAAGGAAAGGAACACTGCCCAACTCATTCTATGAAGCCAGTATTACATTCATCCCATAACCAGACAAAGACCCATCCAAAAAGGAAAACTACAGGCCAATCTCCTTAATGAACATTGATGCAAAAATCCTCAACAAAATAATGGAAAACTGAATCGAACAAAATATCAGAAAGATCATT